TAGATCCTGAATAAATGAGATTCCCAGGTGAAGCCAGCCTTCACTTCTCCTTGTGCACAGTGCATGAAACATACTGGATATATGAGCACTGCTATGCTCCCCATGTCCATTTCCATTACATCTGCTCCCTTTCTGCCAGCTTGTGGGCTATATTCCTAATCAGCACAGTGCTCAGGCATGATCTGAATAGCCTGAAAACCTATGGTAACCTCTGCCCCTGAAGATGCAGTCTAGCTGCCAATACAAATAGCTTGCTGCAATATTAGGTATGTTGTAAGCTTTAATTGTTCCTGTGGGCAGAGTGTGGCTGCTATTTCTCCATATGCTAATCTTGAGCTGCCTTGTGGAAAGTAGCTCTTTCATCCATAATTCCCTCCATAAAATCAACAGTGAAATACCAACAAAAAAGCATGAAGACCAGATTTTCAAGGATGCGTTGCTCTGAATTGAGTGTAGTGCCTCAAAAAAGGTATTTTTGCTTCAGCACCAGAATGGGGGCTACATTTCCAGAACTGCTGAGTGGGTGCTGCTGGCTGGGGTCAGCATGTTGGGGTGCAGCACTGACTGTTTGCCGTGCCATCCCTGAAGATGAATGCTGTCCCTGCTTTTTCAGTTTGCTCACTTCCTCTGCATGTTGCTGAAAATATTGTTCTCATCCTATGTTTCGGGAACAGGAAAGTCATGTAGTTTAAAAGGAAGCAACCACGTGTTAGAAAGTAAGGGGAACATAGAAAATAGCTATGCAAAATAAATGTTGGGACATTCAGTTAAGTTTCCTTTAGTTTGAGTTGAAGAGAGAGTACTTGGAAGAGAGATTTGTTGATAGTTACTAAATAAACAGAAAATGTGTTCACCTCCAGAAATCTGCTGTGGCTGGGTGAATACTTGGGCACTGTAGATAAACTTGCCCTGTTCTTACTCTTCCCTAGCTATTGACTTCTGCCACTGCTGGAGACAGCATATTGGTGGAGGTGGATGCTGCATCTGAGTCAGCACAGCTGTAAGTTCTGGGTGTGCAGCTGCTAAAAGATGCAAAGGCCTTCCTGGGGTGATGAGTTCCCTGACAGGTTGTGAATGATGCGGAAGAAAATGGATACTGTGACTCCACTTCTACACTTTTAACCTTGGGCTACGTTGAAGCATCTTCTCTCCTAGCGTTCCTTGTAGTAGCAAGCAGGTTAGCTAAAATCAAGCTGCTCAGCAGTTGGGGCTTAGCAAGCAAGGAAATGCAAGAGCTTAACTAGGCAGAGTTAAGAGTCTTTCTTCTGTCAAAGAATGCGTGCTATGTTGGTCCAAAACAGCCGTCACGTGAGGCTCATTATACTGGGAATGTCCAACCCAAATCAAAATTTCACTGCAAGCAGTCACTTTGGCAACAGACAGCCAGCAAGCTGTCATCCAGCAAGCTGCCAGGGCAAGTCTTCCTACCAAGGGGGAGGTGTTGGCAGCTCGAACTTGCGAGGCCCATCCTGCAGGAGCAGAAGTGAAGGGCCAGGACAGCAGGACGGAGAGGACACTGCAGCTGCCCCATGCTGCACTGCTCCCTCGGTGTGTCTGCGTTTGTCCTGCTTGGGATTCAGCTCAAGTGGATGCACATGAACAGCTTTTTGGCAGAGATCTTGCATAGATTTGCCCAGCTTTATCATTTGCTAGTTCTTGTGTCGTTTCATGGTGATAGTGGCTCATCCTTGACACCGATCCTTTTATGTCTATTTAAACGTAAATTAGTTTTGATCGGTTTGAGCCTCACATGTTACTGGAAAAAAATGTGGTTTTATTTTTTAATGTCAGTCATCAATTGCTCAGAAGTTGCTTTCTTAGCAGAAGATTGCAATTTATTTACTCTTCAATTATAGATATTAGCTCATTTGAACCTGGCTTTCATTTTTGATCAATACATCCCGTAAGAGTCATCAAAAGCTTTTTGTCTGGCCTGATCCAAGCATAAAATTAAAATGTAGAGAATCACCTCCATTTTCCTTAGCAGTTCTTTGCTTTTTGAAAGGGAGGGCCCTGTTCCTTGTCTGCTCTCTTCTTTCATCCTTCCAAACCTCATTTACTATTAGATCTTACATTTATCTTTCGTGTTCTTTGTCATTATCTTCTTGGTACAAGAAAAGCCCTAATTACCTTGAATTTCTTTGTTGAAAATGCCAGGCAGCAGTGCCTTAACCAGCCCTGCCATTTCTGGAGTGAAATAGCTGATTACATAAAGCTGCCCTTTGTTTCTTTTGTTGACCTCTTGCAGGTTTTTCCGCTCTACCTTCATTTTTTCCCCCTTCTGGTTTCATTAAAAGAGCAGCTTTCATCTTTTGTTTTGGGAGGTGTGTGCTCCCACATGCACTTGTGTGTTGGCCCTTTCATTCTGCACCCACTTCCAACATGACAGAAGTGGAAAACTTGCGGGGAAAAGACCTTATAGTGGCAGCCTGTACCTAAAGGGGGCCTACAGGAAAGCTGGGCAGGGACTCTTTGTCAGAAAGTGGAGTGATAGGACAAGGGGGAAGGACTTTAGACTAAAAGAGGGTTGATTTAGATTAGATGTAAGGAAGAAATTATTTACTCTGAGGGTGGTGAGGCACTGGCACAGGTTCCCCAGAGAAGCTATGGATGTCCTATCCTTGGAGGTGTTCAAGGCCAGGCTGGATGGGGCTTTGGGCAACCTGGTCTGGTGGGAGGTGTCCCTGGCCATGGCAGGGGCATGAGACTGGGTTGTCTTTAAGGTTTTTCAACCCAAAACACTTTGAGATTCTATGACTCTGTGAAAAAACCTGAGTCCTTCAACCCCTGTTCAGCCCCAGGTGATCTTCCTGCCCATCACACCATGATGGTAACATCCAGCTCCAAGGAAAGTGCACAGAGAGACAATTAGCACACTTTCTACTCACTACAGGATTTAAACCTTCTGGGGCTTATGGATTGACCCAATTAATGAATAAACAGGCAGCAATTAATACAAAAACAAACAAAAAAAGCCTGTTCTTGTAAGCCTGGAATCAACAGTACAAAAATACTGAGGGGCTTGAGGAAAGCTTGCCAGGCACAATTTATAATAATGCTTTTAAATTTGTAATGAGCCATCAGAAGGCTATTCTGAAATATCTTTCTGGCAGACGTGTTCTCCTTTTTTCCAAGATAATGTGTGGTGTCGGGATGTTTTAGTTGTTTCTTCTTAAAGATCTTTCTGGAGATCTCCACTTTCATTCAATTACGATTATTTAAGAGTATTGTGTGCATTATATGCCATTGCTTATCTTACGCAGGCCATTTCAGGGTGTTCTTAAGTTTTGTCAAAGTCAGATTTTGCACGGTCGTTTTAAGATCAGAAGAAAATACCTATCGTGGCTCGTGGTGGCCAAGTCAGCTCTCCATTCAGGTTTCACTTTTTGCACACATGAAAAATCATTTCTTGAGTTAACTGGAGTCAAACCTCTTGAGGGCTGATGAGGGTGATCACAGCGTCTGTGGAAACAGCAGCAAAGCCAGAGGAGGTGGTGCTGGAACTTTCCCAGAAGGAGAAAAGGCCTAAAACAATTTTATTTGCTGCCCTGGTGTGAGAAAGAGCTGCCAGTGCTGGGTCCTGCGTCTTCCTCTCAGTGACTGTGCTTGCCCACTGCCCTTCCTGAGCCTTGAGAAGGTGGGCAATGAAAGAAAAGAATGAGAAGAGTAAACGATCAGAGGCTGGCTGGGCAGGCCCTGGAGGAGATACAGCAGGGCCCAGGAATTCTCTCTGGAAAAAAACTACCAGTAAGAGTAAATGGGAGCACAGAGCTGGCAGTGGTGGGCATCCATGTCTAGTGTGTGAATTGAGCAGGTGCCTTCAGAGGTCTCCACCAGCCTCACCATCCTGTGGTTTCACTGCTGCCCTGTGCCAGGGCGGTTTGCACGGGGATGTGGCAAACCGCACCAGAAAGCTGAGCCTGGTTAAACACAAGCCCTCGCTCCTCCCCTGCGGCCTGTCTCAGCGGCTGGCTCGGCCAGCACCACTGTTGGCAGCAGCGTTTCTCCAAATGGTGGGTGAGCAACCCTGGGTACAGGGCTCACCTGCTCTTGCTCTGGTTTGGACATGAAGACATCACACTGTCATAGGGCTTGAGACAAAAAGCAGCTTTGCCTGTGAGGATGCTCCACTAGCCCATCCCAGGGGACAGCAGTGAATAGGAACTTTTCAGCCTTGTTTGTTATCGTGGTTACACCAAGGCTTCCTTGCATCCCAAACTGACCAGACTGTAGCAAAAAGCTGTTTAAACACTCAGACTAATGTTGCCATAAAGGAAATGCTAGTCTGTGTTAGCACACGGGAGTGCAGCCAGACAAGAAAAAGAAAAGCACAGAGCTGGGGTTGTCAGAAGGCACTGAGCATGCAGCCTCACCTGTAGGGAGCACGGTCCCGGTGACGGGCACCCCTACCCCTGCCCTTCGTACCAGGAGTCATTTGTGGAGCAGGTCTGCGAGCTAACAGGAAAAGGTCCACGTGAATACTGTGGGATACTGTAGGATGGGCCAAGCAGAGTGAGTCACAGGCACGGTCTGCAAAGTTTCCTGCTTGTCTTATGTTCTTCTAGTATTTCCCCAGCTGGCCTTCTCATCCCAGCTGGCTGACCACAGCCCTCAGCTGTGATGTTCTCACTTGTGACCCATCTCGTGTCCAGGTGTTTGGGTTGAACTGGCTTTCCCCATTCCAGTATCAAGCTTTTCTATCAGAAGTTGATGGTGTTCTGGAGATGAAGAAAACCTGTAAAGGTTGCTGCTTTCTGGGGTAATACAGTGCTCGCCAACTTCCCAGTTTGCTACCTGAGGTTAATTGCTGCTGCTTGAACTCAAAGGGCAGATGCGAAAGCTAGGCTTTTGGAAAGTGGTTGTTAACACTCTGGTTGCAAAAGCAAGTGGTGAGCAATCCTCACCTGCAATGAGGTTACAGAACTGATTTCCTAAATGCCACAGTCAGGGTGAAAGAGTAAAGCTCACCGGGACGGTTTTCAAGCTACAGCGCTTGGCCCTGAGCAGCTCCCCTTCCCCAGCCTTTCCCACTTCAAACCATTGTGTTTTTTTTTCCCTCTTGTGGGCAAATCATTTACTGTAATTTAATGATCACAACCACATAAAATTCACTTCCTTGTGGTAAAAAAGAAAGGATTAAATGTCTCGGTTTATCTTTCCACGTGGGTCACGTGGCCAGGGCTGGTTGTAAAATGTGGGAGAACGGGTTTGAGGCGCAGCAGTGCCAAGTGCTGTACATTTCCGTATGCTCTCTACCCTGCGTATCGCTCACAAAGACGCCACAGAACGACGAGGAAGTTTGCCTTCTCAGGGAGTGGATTTTTTTTTTTTTAAATGTAATGCATCGTTTATTATTCTTAAATCTAATCTTTTAAGACCTCAGTGCTGTCCTAGTCCCAACCCCAAAAGGAACAAGCTGAGAGAAACTCCTGCTCAGCCATACAAAAGCCGAAATGTTGAACAAAATCAGATGGCCGGCTTGTAACAAAGCAATCAGCATCTCAAAAAACCTCGTGAGCCACACAGATGGGATGCATATCTCAAAATCTCGTACATCAATAAGTGACCCGCCAGCTCTGAAGGAGCCCCTGGTGCAGCTGGTGACCTCTCATGCTAACAGCAGCACTGGGGGCTCGGGGGAAGGTGGTGGGGAAGGCCCACCTGGCTGGCATTTGGGAACGTGGCTGCTGGGTAGGGTGTGTTGGGTCAGAAGGAGTTTGGGACTCTGGGACTGTGCGGTGCCAAACAGGACTTGGTTCTCCTTGCCAATACAAATTGTAGAGGTTCATTTAAAGGATTCCTTTGTCCTTGGTGGGGCTCTTGCTAGGCTGTAAGCAATTGAGCTTCTGTTACAAAGAGCCTTTTTCATCGTCACTTCCAAAGAAGCGCTGGAATATGTAGGAAATGCTCTGTGCCCCCAGAGGAGAGGCAGTAGGCTCACATCTGTCACTTCTGAGCCCTCTGGCTGGAGCTCCCCTGAAGCCAGCCCCAGCAGTGGTGAGTGTCTATCCATTACTTCTGAGCGGCAGTGGTGCTTGTGAATGCTGAAGACATGCTGACACCATGCTCAGCCCCAGTCTTTCTTACCAGCAAAGCTTAAGATAAAGCACTTACTTGTGGGTGAATCCCAGCCCTGGTATGGGACACAGCCTGGGGTCTGTGCTCCGTGGAAACTCTCTTTTGCTTCATATGAGGAAAGAGTGAAACCAACAGGAAAAACACAATGTGAACTACGGTGTGTTGTAACTGCTTTGTGTACAGTACAACTGGCAACGCCTTGTTGGACAGGGCACGGACGCTGTCTGGTTTTATGGAAAGCATGTGATGGGTTCTGAATGAGCCTCTGATGGTGCCTACAGGGAAGAAAGAACCATTTCCTAAATTGTGATGCACTTAACGTTGCACCTTTGACAGCAGCGGTAATGATGTCTGTAATGATCCTACTGCTGCTGATGGTGTTGGTCACCTTGCAGATACAGAACTGCTCAGCATCAGAGCCATTTAAAAAGCATCCCTCTTACTTCACTGGTGAATACAAAATCCTCATTTGAATTTCAGGCACTTTGCATACATGTATGTGGCTATTTCCATCTCTTGGAGTGAATCAGATTTCAGTATATTCTGCGGCATAAGATAAATAAGCTTTTTGATCCAAAGAGACAGACAGAATTATTTCTTCCATTTATTTCTGTTTTGTAGGACTCTGCGAAAAAAAATAAATATCCATGCCTGTGATGGAGCAGGAGGTCTCTCTGGGGAGGTCTGGCTTGAAGACTAACACAGGGGCAGAAACAAGATCAGCTTTTCTGTGCATCTCCCTTCTGCGCTGCTAGGAGGAAAGAGTGTGTGGCCAACACACCCATATTGCTGCCCTTCTCAGTGCTCAACAGAGAAAAACAGAAAAGACAAATGAAGACATTTTCCTGCCTTTTGTGGATGTTACCTGCTTGCCCAGCCAAAGTCCTGAGTCTGACAGGCCAATGCTGGGTGCATTGGTGTGGAGGAGCTGCTCTGCACTCCCTCTGTGGGGGGACAGCTCCAGCAGGGAGGGATGTGTGTCCAAACTAAGGACAAGAAATGATTTCTTCCCTGCCACACTATGATGCCCATTCCCATCTGATCAGCTTTCCCACAGACCAAAGCCTCAGGATGCCACCCCAATGTCAAGGTTCCCAGTTTGTCTCGATGATACCTGCGGTGAATTCTTCAGATGTGTCTCCTCTGGTCTCCCTCAAATGCCTCACCTCGTGACTCAGGCTGCAAGTCTGACTCAGACATCATGCTCTTCCCCACCTTTCATTTCTGATGTAGGGCAATGCTGACATACTTCACCTCATGCTTCCTGGGGCTACTCCATGGCACGAGGGCCATTGGGTGTGCTCCAGGTCCTGCTGCAGCACTGCGGGGTCAGGGCATGGCCAACAGTGACACCGTGGGAGGGGGTGTGTCTGCACGGAGTGTGTGGCTTGGTGCAGCCTCCTCACGTTGTAGCACTCCTTTGGATGCTTTGTCTTTTGGAAGGGTTTGCTGTGACACTTCAGGTGGTAGCAAGAAGCTCTCCAGCTGAAGGTAGCAGAGGTTTAGTGGAGGTAGCCTGGTTTGAAGAAGATCCTGGTTTGAAGAACCAGACATTGTTATCCCAAAAACTAATTGTAGGGGCCTACTGATGGTACATGTCATTGCTCCCACAAAAGAGGCAGTAAAAATGTTGCCCACAAAGGATGCTGCTTCCTTGTCTTACTGTGTGGGGTTCTTGGAGGGAAAGCCTAGACCACTTACACAATGGCAAAGGGCATGGTGATCAGGTGTTTTCTTGCTTGGATATGTCCTTGGTGACATGATCATTGTTGATGTGCTGATGCCACCCCACATTTTGCCTACCAGAGCCCTGCCTGGGCAGCACAGGGCCCTCCCGTGCACCTTGCCATGCCCTCAGCACCTGCACTGCTCCTGCCTGGAGATCTCCAGGTGCCCCCAGGGTGCAGCCTGGAGGCCAGCCTTGCAGCTACTGGCTGTGGTTTGTCCCACACAAAAGCTGGTGAGCCGAGGTGTCTGGCTGCCTGGAGTGGCGCCAGGCCTTGAGGGAATCCTTCACTTATCCACGTGGCTAGAAAACACTCCGGTAAGGGACAGCAGATGAAAAGTCACAGACTGGGGAAACTAAAGATGCCCTGTGTGCAGGCATACAGGTTTAATAAGTAATCCCTTGTTATCGCATGCCTTGTCGAGTGATTGCAAGATACGCTGCTCTGTAACCTGCAGATTTGCTACAGGAGTGAGAATTGCTTGCTGCAGTTATTGTTTCAAAGCTTTGGAACAAAGGAACTGCTGGTAAGTGTAGGCTGTTTTGCTTCTGACCAATTTAAATGCCTCTCTCTCTCAGCAAGCCAGCTTGAGGTCACTCCCGTGGCTTGTGTAGGCTGCTTGCAGTTTTTGTCACGCTTCAGTGAGATCGTTTGGTTAACTGTGGCTTCCCACTTCCCACAAGCAAGCGGACTGCAGGCAGAGGCCAAGCTGACACAGAACCTCAGTGACATTGCAAACACGTCCAAGGACAGGCTCAAAGAGCAGCCAGACCTGTTCACCTCTGGCAAAAATTAAATGTGGTGGTTTGGAAAGAGGTAAGAAAGAATGAACAAAAGCATATCGTGCTTCAAAGTAAAAGTACAGCCATGGACAACCAGGGCATGAAATGTGGCACTGCTTCTGTCTGGTGACCACCATACAACCTGGTCACATACAGAAGCATGGGAGCTGCCTGGGTAGGCATAAACCCACAACCAAAGCACAGTTTGTGATTTTACCTCCATGAATACCCTTGGGAACGACAGCAGGACTTTTTAACAGGGTGGGACAATCCACTGATCTTCCCTGAGGATGAAAGGTGGCTGTGGGTACACCTATGGGGATGGAGGAGCAGCCTCAGAGTCTGCCATGGGGCAGGGCATTGCCCAACACAGCCCGTTCAGATGGAGACGTCTGTCACCATGTTGGAAAGATGGGCTGTTTGGTGCACGTGGGACAAGTCTGAGCATATTTGAGATGTTTCCTGCACAATTTTTTAATGAAGAGCCCTTGACTGGTCACCTCCTGCAAGCAGGATCTCTAGTTTTGCCCCAGTAAGGACCTCAGGGCTGAGTTTCTCTCTTCTTTTGTTAGGAAACCAGCAAACACCAGTCCTGGCCTTCTGGCTGGAGAAAGAAATAATCTGATATAATTTGTTGGCTTGACAGGAAATATTTCGTATGGAGATATTTCTACAGTCTGTTCTGTATCAAATTCCTGATTTTTTTTTTCTCTTTGCTCTTTGGCATCTTGAATGGCTGTAATCTCATGGTGCCTGTCTTCGTGTTAAGAGAGGACTCGATGCACAGAACTGCCTTTTTTTCATTTCCTAACTTCCACTTTCTCCCTGCAACACCCTTCCTGCTGTTTCATTTCCAGGCAGGACATAGCCCTGAAACTCAGTCAAGCGTGATTCAGCATTTAATTGACACACTGGTGTACAAAACCTGGCTCTGCTGACTTTCAGATGCACAGCAGAGGTAGTTTCCCTTGCGATGAGGTAGGTCTGGCCTTTATTTGTTTTACAGGTCAGCATGATGGGCCACTTTTGTGGCTGATATGCATCAAGGGAGCAGCAAGCTCTGCCAGTAGCTGCTGAGGACCCAGCCCAGAGATGCTACACGTGTAGCACCAGTCACAGAGCAGAACATAAGATACTGTGCATGCCTTTTAGATGCACCATAGATGCATTTTTATATGCTTTGAGCTCTAGTGCTTATATAAATAAGATGTTGCAATATCAGAGTGGTGTTAATCCACTTGAATTTCTTGTTAACGTGTTTATATAGTCGCTATGTCACAGGGGTATTATTGTGTGCTCTTTCCAGAAAAAAAAAGTCGAGGCTGCTTTTAGCACTTCAAGTTGATACCAGCCAGAGAAGGGCATGTCTGCTCTTCAAGACCATCAAGAAATATGGTCAGAGAGGGAATGGGATCAACTTGGCAATGTTCTGAGTTGTCACGATGCCCAAGGCTCCTGACATTCCTGAGGCAGCAAGGTCATCTTAAAAGTACTGTTGCATTTCTCTGGCATTGTTTATGTTAATATCCTGAGAATGACTTGCATATTTGAACCTTATGATGGGTTAATCATTAATTACAGTCTTACAACACTGAAATAAGAAACCAGCAATCTAGGAAAATAACAAATTCTCTTGTGAAGTGTCTGTTTAAAAAGAGCCAGAACATGCTCTGTAGATTCATTTTAATTTAGGATAGCATGGATAAAGGGAAAGAGGAAAATTCCACTAAAACATTTTAGTGTGGCACAATTCTTCGTCTCACTTGGAAAAAGCTGATGTCTGTGGAGTGCATGCGTGTGTAGCTCTGAACACCTGTAAGGGCTGTGGTTTGTGTTTCTTTCTCATCTCCAGATGGAGGTGGACCTCTAGGGAGTGGTAAGGTCAGCAAGGAACTGCAGGGAAAACATTAGTCTTCCTGTGTAACTTGGTGGTTTGCCCGACAGGTAAAGTCCTAATGTGACTACCTCTCCTTGAAAGCTGCTTGTAGCATTGTGATTACCCATTCCCTGAACAAGATACATGTACAGTGACCTGGTTCTGGGGATTTTTGCTGGGACATGCAGACTCCCTAAACCAAACCTGCAAGGAAAACAGGTGAAATTAGGTGACTCTCTCCCACCTCCAAATCCTACTCTTCCAAAACCTTTCAGTTTTCTAACACAAATGAAAAAAAAAAAAAAAGACAGGGAAGACAGGGAAACCTTTCATGATTAGTATCTTCCAGCAAGCCCAAGGCATGTTATCATGAAATGCCTTGACCTGACGGCACTGTGGGAAAAGATGGTTAAAGAGAGGAAGTTGCAGATACTTTTGCTTCCCAATGAGGGACATGGAAGGAAGTGCAATATTTGTTCTGTTCTCCTTCTCTTTCGGATTATTCCCTAACACTAATGCCTGCTTTAGTCACCTCTGCCTTCCTTCTGCTTTGCCTCAGGGTTTAACTCTGTTCCCGCACACCGCTCTTCTCCCAAGACTTTGTATCTGCAGCAAATTTTCTTCAGATGGACTTAGAGCAAGGAAGGAAACAGGTGTTCTGGAGGACTGCAATGCTGCCGAGAGGTGCAGCCTAGCTATCTGTGCCTGAAAGGACTGCTTTTGAAGGCTGAAGCGTGCTGAGATGATAATGATGTGCTGTTTTCTCTCAACAGGGCACCTCAGTGCCAGCTCCCAGCACTTCTGGGAGCACAGTGGGGTTATGGAGGTTTTGTGCAGCTGGTGAATGGAAAGCATGAGGACACCAGCTTTGTCTTTTCCATTCATATCCAGGCATGGTCTCTAAACTGGATGTGAAAAGAGTCTGGGGCTGATCAGAGGCTGCTGGAAGAATGGTGAGGTGCCCCATACACATTTTGGGATGGGTCCTGTCCTCCAGGCCATCTCCCCTCCCTGAGGAGCCCATGAGGATGCAGGCTGTGGCACCCCACTGCCCTCCTGCCCCAAACACCCCTTCCCCAGCCAGGAGGGAGCACATTGCCCACCAGGAAGCCTGCGCAGCATCAGGCTTCACCTGGCCGTAGCATGTCACAAAGAAATATCAGTCGCTGTTTTTAAAGAATGCTTTATTCACTACATCCTAGAAATGTACCGTAAATAGAGCAAGAACTAAATAAACTCAGAGGCTTCCGACAGTACAGAAAACAGAGATACAATAAAACACCTAAAATATCAGCTCTTTCAAGAATAAGGCACACTAGTTTTTTTTTTCTTCCTTTTTTTTTTTTTTTTTAATATATATATATATATATCTTTGAATAGTTTGTTCTTAACCTAAAGATGTTCACATTTCAAGTTATCAGACTTACCTCAGTAGTAGTGTACATGAAATGGTTCAGAAGCAAGCGGAAAAGACGGGGGCAGGAGGCTACGGTCCCACGTCCTGTCTCTCCTGCCTTGGTGTGGTGGCCTTGAGGCTCACCCTCTTTGGGTTCCTTTCTGTCCCTACTGCAAGCAGCAGGAACCAGTGGGGAGGGGATGGGTGGGAGGGCAACCATGACCCTTCATCCCTCCTCTGAGTTGGCCGTGGTTGTGGTGGAGGGGCTGGAAAGGGGACCACAGAGCCCACTGTGCCTGGAGGCCATCGAGATATGGGGCAACCCATGGTGGCATTTAGTGTTGAGCTGTACAAGGCCTTAGAGGAAGCCCCCAGCATTTTTTGAGCATCCTTACCAGGGTCTTTCTGGAAGGCCTTGCCCACTTCACCTCCTCTCACCCTAAAAACAGGCAGGGCCTTCAGGTTTTGGGGCTAAGGGTTGCGTTTCCAAAAGCTCTGGGACAGACAATAAAAGCCTCCGGGGAAGGGGCACAGAGGAGCAGAGTCCGACTTAATGGTTAACTTCCTCACAGTGCTTCTGATAGCAGTTGGACAGTTTTACATAGAGCTCAGCTTTGCTGAGTAAGAGCACCTAAAAAACAACCGCTCAATTTTGAGGCAAGAAAAATATGCGTTAGAAGGTCACTTTACTGAGCTGGAGGTGATCTGGAAGTGGTTCAGTTGTCAAAACATACTTTATACGAAACCCCTTCAGTTGGTATTTATACCATAAAATGCAAAGCAAAATGGTTTACTCAGTCCCTGCTTCACACCTCCTTTCACTGGAGTAGTGTTTGCAGAGCTGACATTCTTCATCAAATGGGCAAGATATTTCTTTAACATTTTACTATACTTTACATTCACTGCACTACTAAATAAAAGCCTTTAAACAGGCCACAAAACACTGCAATAATATATTTACTTCTTAATAAAACAAACTTTTTTTTATAACATCGAAATAAACTGCCTTTGTTTTGTGGCAAACCACATACCATGTAAATTTGCAACATAAAATGACTTTTAAAATGTATATTTACAAGCTCTATATCTTAAAATCATCAGGTCCGATCCCTCCCATCCCTGATGTGCATGCGTAACTCCAGGTGCGGAGAACTGGAGTTGAGTGTGAAAGGGAGGCCGGGAGGGATGCCAGCCCTGCTGTATTAATTCCAGTATCACTACCACCCCTAGTACCTTGGAAATTTCTCACAGAACATGATGAAGCTATGGGTAAGCAGCACTGCACGTCCTGCTGGCAGGAGCAGGCATGCTCTTGCCTACAACAGCATACATTCTCAGTCACTACAGCATTTACTTCAAAGAATAAAACAAAGAGCATTTAAAAAGAGCCTAGGTTTTATACTGGATGAAGACTGAAGTCAAGACACCTTGCACGAAATATCAGGTGCTCATTTCTGCATGTGCTCCAAGGCTGAACTACAGGTAGCTTCAATAAATAGAAAATCCAGTTCTCAAGGAAAACTCAGAGCCTTTCCTTTGCTTATTATAAGCCTGCCAATCACACTGTGAAGAGGTCTGTGTGAGGCTTTTTTTTTCTTCTTCTTTCCAAAAAAATAATATTAGTACTTTTGTTTTCAAATGATAACAAACAGATTGTATTAATGCCAGCACAAAAATGCAGAGGTCTTGCACATTTTTCAAATTGCACTTTCCAGTATAACATTTTTTTAAATAAGATACTTGTTGTTTTTTATTTTCTTAAAAAAAAATCTAAGGTACGTATTCTTTAAATATTGAATATATTCTTCAAAATATATTGTTTAAACTTTCCCTAGCTGCTCAGGTGTGCTTTTTAATATATAGCAGATATATTATTAAAGGCACTACAAAATAGACATCTCTGGAGTGCAGAAGTTACTAAAAAATAACCTTCATACCACAAATATATTGAAAATATAACTGCTAAAAAAAAAAGACCCTATGCAACCCCACTATGATGCGTATAAATGCACATAAGCGATGGGCTCAATGCACTGAGGTCGTTTAGAAATGTATGAATACAGGCGTGTTAAATTTTAAAAATAGCCTAAAAAAGTTAGTGAAAACTTCAAGCGTAGAAAACATTTCAAACACGTTTTTTTCCATGACATTCTTCACTTGCAGGTTCTGCATCAGTTTACAGAGTCCAGACGTTACTGTTTTGCAGCAGGCACGTTCTTCATAAATAGTAAAGTGTTCCTTCAGTGTTTGTTTCTCTGCCGCCCTCCGTGCCGACAGTCTCAGTACGTCTGGTAGACGTCGTGGATGGGCACCTGGATGGTGGCAGCAGGGAATGCCGGAGGCATGTAGCCGGCGTACCCTCCGTAGGCAGCAGCGGCGGCGGCGGCAGCGGCGGCCGCGTTCTTCTGTAGCGTCGCTATCGTCGCCGTTGCTGCGGCAGGCGCTGCGAATGGCACGTAACTTGTCCCGTAAATGCCAGCGGCGGGGATCCTCTGCACGTTGGGGGCCATGGTGTACACAGGCGTTATGGGGCGGCCCTGGAATTGGAGTTGCAGAAAGTCCTGAGTTGGAGGGGACCCATGAGGGTCACCCAGTTCAACTCCTGACTTCACACAGAGCAGCCTCAGTCAAACCTGGTATCTAAGAGCACTGTCCGCAGGCTTCCTGACCACCCATGGCTTGGTGCCATGACCCTGGGGAGCCTGTCCCAGTGCCCGACCACCTCTGGGTGCAGAACCTTTCCCTCACACCCAGCCTGACCCTCCCCTGTCCCAGCTCCATGCCGTTCCCTCGGGTCCTGTCACTGTCCCCAGAGAGCAGAGCTCAGCACCTGCCCCTCTGCTCCCCTCGTGAGGGAGCTGCAGGCCGCCATGAGGCCTCCCCTCAGCCTGCTCTGCTCGGGGCTGAGCAAACCCAGGCACCACAGCTGATCCTCATACATTTTCTCCAACAGACCCTTCACCATCTTTGTTTCCCTCCTTTAGATACATTTTAATATTTTCATACCCTTAATATTTTTATAGCCTTATAATATACCCTTATATTTATATAAGGTGTAGCTCAGCTGCCAGATATAAGCTGCAGGTGGGTCTCAAGTTACATGAGATGAATTTCTCTGTATGTCCTGGGCAAATGGGACAAAATAACAGGAGCAGAAATCAGCCCTGAGCTGTACTGGGATGACCCTGAACTCACCTGGAAGGGGGGAGGCGTTGACACAGCCGGTATTACAGCTGCGGCTGCGGCTGCTGCAGCAGCTGCTGCACTGGCTGGGTCCTGCTGGACGGCAATAGGGTTGATGATGTGCTCAACTGCGTGGATCTTGCCATCTTCCATCATCTTGGCTGGTGGCGCGGCCTGAAACATGGAGTACTGGGCACTGATCGCAGGGATGGCCACTAGGAGAGACCAGAGACATCAGGTGTTTTATGAGAGGGTCTCCTGGGCCTCATCTCAAAGAGCACACAGCCCTCCCTCCTGGCTATGCCAGCTCTCCCATGCTGCTTTCATCAGGACAGGTAGCCCCATGTGCCAGTGAGGGATGTGGGGCACCTCCACCCTCCCTGCAGGTCAGAGCACCACAAACGATGTCAGGAGCTGTGCATGGTGATGGGCTTGGTGCTGCTTGCTCTGCCCAGTACTTGTCCCCTTGTCATGGGTGTCCCAGGGCCAGAACCCTGCCCTGGATCTACATAGCCCCTTCTGACCACCGCCATCCTCTCTCTGGTGAAGAGCGTGGCCTCGGTTCAGAGATGGGTGGGAGCACCTATTGCCCTGGTGAGGTCCCTGCTCCAGCTGCTGAGATTGAGGGACGTGTGGTTACTTCAGGAAAGAAAAGTGAAGTTTGTACTGCAGAACTTGCAGGCAGCAACTGGCCCAGCCTATATCCTGTCCTTTGGCCAACCCTGTGAAATACCAGCTGATTTACTACTGTACGTTTCCCAGGACTAATTTGGCTAAATACATTTTATCCCATCTTTCTGGTACAGCATCAATTTGATTAATGGCACTAAAAAAGAAATTACTCTTAAGAAAATGTTCCTCATGCCAGAATTGGACAATGCAAAATAATTAGAGCTAAGGTCTTCCAGATAAAGGGAAAATGCTCTGAGCAGAGTAACTGTGTTCAGAGGCAGTGAGTATGTGTGTGCTTCTAGGGGAGCTTCACGGCACCGCTTAGAGAAGAAATGTGCTTCACTAGACTTTCCCAATAACCACATCTGTAATTCCATCGTTGCCTCATAATGTGCTGTTCAGCCTTCAGCTCTGAAGCCTTTCAGCAGGACTGGTATTCGTAAGGAAAATGGGGTAAGTAATAAAGATGGACTAAGAGGTGATGTTGGCAACTATGAGAGGGGCAGCCATTAAGCCAGAAATGAAGCCAAATTAGCACACAGCTTTGTTTCACTGGGATGAAACTTAGCAATATGGAAGTGTGCAATTCTGCCTGTGGGCAGGACAGGTCTCAGCAAGTAGTATTCTCGTTTTGATCATGGAGACTTCAAGAAGGGATCTGATCATATATCTTTCAGGCAGAGGTGTTTCCACCTCCGGTGATCTCCCATTATCTCAAGCAGAGACTTCTGCCTGTGACCTTTTCCAGCCTTCCTTCTACACCAGTTCCACCTGGTCAGCTAAACCCAAATTTATCAGTACTTTAAATAACCTGGATAATGTCTCACTGAAGAAAAGGCAAAAGCTCACATGCTCCATTCTGCAGTAACTTCTGGCAGAAAAGTAGAAACAGGCAGCTGGGGTATTGGGGTGTTGTCTCAAAAGTTTCCTAACCATTTGTAAATAGAAGAGCTTTAAGATATTTCTAAATGGATGGAAACTGGAAACTGCAGAGTCTGTTCCTCTCTACTTCTCCATTCTGGTAGTGTGATTTCAGAGTAATTTCCTTTTGATAACAGAGGTAAGTCTCACACGTAGTTCCTTTTACCAGATCAGCTGGTTTGGTTGGAGAAAAGAGACCAAGTGC